GCGCGCACTCAGCTGTTTCGGGTGCAGTCAAGCACCCTTGAAGAGGCGATTCAAGTGGCCCTTCAAGAAGAGTACAGCCACCTCCAGGCGCGTACGCCGGCCTCAGCGTGGCCAGGGAGTACATCGCAGAACCCCAATCGGACAAGCACCAGCGCGCCAGTTTCCATGGAACTCGGTGCCGCTGAACAGCACGACATTCGCTGTTTCGGCTGTTTGTGGCAGGTTGGGCAACTTCAAGCTAGACTGCCCTGCGGACATACAGCGCAGGCGGCTTTACCCCAAGCCCGTCCTCAAGGGTCGTTGGCAGAAGCCAAGACCCCGAGCTAGGGGAACGCCGGAGACCAGTAGAAGCGGGGCGCCCTACTGGGGAAGATCTAAGTGAGGGGGACTTAGCCCCTGAGAGTCTTCGCACTCTCGAATCGGCGAAGGGCAGGAACTGGTCCATCCAGTTCGGCGCGCTTAAGCACTAGGTACCCAGTGAGCACAGCACAGTGCGTGACTCTTAACTCCAGCATTTCATTATTACATACTAGTTTATCTCTGCTTGTCCTGACGAACAGAATATCAGATTGCACGCACTGACTTTGCTGTTGCCTTCACTAAACACTGACTTCCTGTTGGTAGCAAAGCGAAACAGATTTTCCCTCGGGAACAGTAGACACCATATGTGTCAGTATTTGAGCAACAGGAATTAGTTAGCACCCGAACACGCAGGAGTGGTCGCTAGTTAGTTTCAGATTTTATCTTCAAGCTTTAAGCCCTCCTGCTTCACGTCTCCAACCCTCAGCTTTCCGGAAGATGGCCCGCCTCTCCTCTTGATCGTACTTAGAGCATCTCCAATCGTGGCGGCTATTCTATTTCTATCCGGAAAATTAAACGTGCTGATTGGACCATCAAAAATAGCAATAGGAATACAACTGTGAGCACCAAGTCCGACGACTTATAATTGGCACACATCCCTAATAGAACTTCCAGTTGGAACTGCAGACGATGAAGATGACGAGATCTTCGGGATGCTAGCGGATACCGACGGCGAGCTCACTCTATCGCTGACGCCATCCTATTGCAGGAGCCGACAACGTTTGCGTTCTCGACGCGGATCAGTATACGGTCGAGTGAAGGTAATAGCGCGTGATATTCAACTAGGGCATCATCCAATAATGCGTGACTATCTAAGCCCTAATTGTAACAGGGTACAAACCCTAGTGTACCCAAGTTGCATGAAGAGTGACCAGTCACCCTTGTAATACCTGGTACATGGTACCAGGGGCTTTAGGTGCCAATCATTATATATCGTCATAGCTTCATTATAGGTGACTTATAGTTTGTATTAGAAACTGAGTTAAGTTTACCTATAAATAAAAATCAGTCTTAATCGTACCCTCAAGTGAGTACTTCGTCCCCTCAGACCAGGGACACGTGAACGGTCGTTCACTTAAAGTTTGTATACTCTTGGAAGCCACTGTCGCAGACAATCTGCATCCTGCAACTTGACCAACTCGATGCTCCTTGTATGTTTTTCCTTCATCTTCGATATCGAATTCTTGGACAACAGGCCGCTTTAAAGGCCTCCCAGGGGTCTTTGTGAACGGTTGAATGAGTTGATCGACATCATAGAGATCTGAGTCACGTGTCAGTCCTCCCTGAAGAGCTCTCCGCCGACCAAACAACTCTCGCAGCGGGACCTTTTGCAACGCTAATCCAATTTTCAGCTTATTTAGCAAGTTGAGGGAAGCGATTACGTGGGAGCACACCCAACCGGTATGCATAAAATTTTTGCAGGTACAACGGAACACATTCCTGATTAAGCATATCTGTCCATATAAAAATACTATTTAGATAAAGTAGAGTGGAATACAGTTTGGTACCATGGCGTACCTCATCGAAACGCCACTTTGATCTTGGTATTAGTGGATTCATCTGCATGAGCGCCCGTCGGTCTACAGTCACTTGCTGTAGTGATAGAAATGTGATTTCGGCTTCGTTTATAGGTTGAGATGGACAAAGCATTCCCAACAACGAGTTCTTGAATCTAGTTTAACAATCGTTCAATACACTAAACCCTAGACCTAGCGATGCAGTAGTGATCAGGGAGAAGTAATTGCTCTTTTACCTTCACGACAGCATTAATAGGAAGTGGTCCTAATATTACACATAGAAAAATAATAATTAAATGGGTTGATGTTCGTAATAATAATAATCAATAAAAATCAAACCTTCTGCGTAATACCGATGATGTTCAGGTGTGAGATTGGTAGCGTCGTACAGGAGTACCCGTGTCAACACGGAATTCAGCACCGTAATAATAGGAGCTTTTTTATAGTCAGTGACGATTACGTTAATTACGCAGTGATGGCTTTCAATAGGCTGCTGGGAGGGAAGAAATCGTGGTACTGATGAACTATTGACACTCCAGCGCTCCCAGCGCTTTGTCAAAGACACATTTTGAAGCCACGGAGCTAGTTTATCCTCTCCAGAATCTTTCCAGGCCTTTACGACTCGTTTAAAAAGAGTTCTAAACTGTTTTAGAGACTGGGACTGGTGTAGTAGTCGTAGGTGCTGTTCTCCGATGTCTTTCATGAATCCCTTGGTTTTCTCAAGCTTAGTCTGCTTGCGTGACTGACGAAGAAAATGCTCCCAACAGGATAGAATTTCTATATGGGCCACACTATTTCCAAAGCAGAAGCTGTAGCGTCTGCATGGTCAATACTGGCACTGTATACCTTCAGTTCAAGGTTCAAAATTGTTTTTGCGTATTTGACCAAAGCTCGAAACCTGTGCTCATAAGCAATAATACTCTCTGTTTTGACGAACATGTAGATCCAAGGACGAAATCGCTGTACATATCCCGTACCCGATCGCTCCACAGAGATTCCTCCACAGTCTACAAGGGTCCGACCACCAAAATGGATTCTGTAGGTGCCGTCCGTAGATAGCACCACGCTGTCGCCTTGGTCATGAACTGCACGCTCTACATTACGAAATAAAGCTCTAGATGTCACCACTACACCAAGTGAGGCTACGGACACGCCTTCTACAGTGACTAAATGCTCGAACTCGTCTAAGACGATAAGCTCGTTCATGTCTGCCCCATTCGTTTCATCGACTCGATAAAATTCAACTCGACTTTGACATAACATTCCCGCTGTCCAGTTTGTTAATGGCACAAATTTTCTGATCTCCATCCATCCCCCGCCAGTCGCTTCAAATAGGCTTTCCTGTTTTTCGTTTTCTTCGTTTCTGGCACCAGTGCGTGCATAGCAGGATCTCTCAGATACTTAAAACGCAGCATGTTCTTCACCCAAAGTGCGGTCATACCGAGCTTTAGCAGTGCATCCACTTCGGGTTTTAAAATCAGTGAAATACCCTTAGTTGTGAGATTAACTACAGTTCCAGCATGTTCTCCTTTCTGTAGAACCTGGTATTTTTTCCCAGCTTCGCCAGCTTGATGGGTGATAAGCTTGATTCGATGACGACAATCTTTGTGTGAGCAGCACTCAAACTCCTTTCCAACCCGAAACGTTGACACATATCGCGTCTTATAGATGTAAACGAATTGATTCAGCTGGTGCAAGCTCCGCTCTGCCATCTCCTCTGTATCGTAATAACCGACACTGATGTATTGGACTTTATTGTGAATAGCAACAGTCGATATGCTAAACGGACCAGTTCCATCAGCCGCATTTTCATACTCTAGTGACGAATCAAAATCTTGATCACCGTCTACCGTGGCAACCACTCCAGAACTACCACTGTTCGAATAAAATGCAAAGTGAGCAGTGCCATTGTCTGTAGTAGAAGTGTTATCGTCGGCGGAAGGAAGGTGCGACGTCCATGTCTTCTACTGAGTCTGTTGTGTAGTCATCGTCCAAATCTTCTGCCGAAACAGTCGCGCTCAGCATGTCCTCATTCTCTGACTCGCTGGCATCGTGTTCGTACTCCAGCACATCCGTTTCTTCACAGTCATCGCTTGGGGAGAACACCAGCAGCTTCATGGGATCAGCTTCACACTGCACTGCCTGCTGCTTATGCCCGGTGGAAGTGTGAGCTGTTTGAAACTTCTTCTTGAACTCTAGTAGTCTGTAAATAGCAAAAGGTATTTGAAGGGTAAAAATATAACAGTACTTCAGTATTGAGTTTCTGTTCACCTTATAACTAACAGTTTTTCAAGCCCACTGACAGGTGTTTGGCTTGAGCAACAGGTATTCCTATAAAATAAGATGTAACAGATGTGTCAGTGGATGAGCAACAGATTTTAATATTTTCCTGCGTAGTTTCATCTTTTGCTGCCTCTGCTATTTTCCTTCATCGCATGAAAATTCCATTGTGAAGTAACCCCCAGCTCCACGACCAAATGAAAACATAGAGTACAGGACATGCATTGGTCTTCACCAGATCACAACGAGCTCTATACAAGTGTCATGTGCTGTGGTAGTGATAGTCAAGACAGGTACGTCGGATGCAGCAAAACTTAGAGCTACAGTTAAACTTTAGTAATTCTCGAATGCTTTCATTTTATGAAAACCGCCTACTACACAATACGATTCTCACGAAATACTGCGTCAATTGACTACCAAGGAGTGTACTACTTTTTCATTTGGATTATCACGTCTCCTTAACAGAGCAATCGACGGTACATCGAATGTAGTGCAGCGCCGGCTTTGCTCCGACGGCAGATTCGGCGAAACTTAGTAAACACACACCATTGCACTTGTAAAGTGTGACGCAACGTCATTGTACAGATTCCGTCCTCTATTCAGACACCGGCACCTATATAAGCTTGATAAAGGCTTACTTACTACGGTTTATGGCATATCACACGTGGATTGAAGATGCGCAAAAAGATCTCGTTCACGCCACCCCGTTACATTGCTGCACGTCTCAGCACTTTTGTCTGCGTCGTTAAGCACACTTCAAGTGTAACGGAAGCAGTGGCTTGTCAGCTTAGTCTTCTTCATGTCATTTCATATTTTGGTGTTCCAATCCGTTTTTTTTTGTTTTTTTTGTGTTGGCATGCGTTTTTCTTGTTCAGACAGTGGCTCATGCCGCTTCATCTTTTGACATGCCCGAGGTAGCTGATTAATCCGGTAACGCTGTTTTAACGTAGCCGTAATATCCGCGCCGATTCACTGAAAAGAAGGCCAGAGGTCGTAGAGTTTAACCTGTAATTCTCCGTCTATCAGTGTGCTGGTTAACTGCCGAGACAATTATAATAATTATCTTCTTGTTGTTACAAACGTGGTTGCTTGCTTTGTTTACGACCATGGCAAGGACATCGCTGTTTACACGGTGATCACGACCACAGTAAGGTCTGCCAAGATTATGCATGTGTTTACATTGCTCTACAGGTAAAGTCGATTGCACTAGATGATTGGCTACAAGAGGGGTAGCACGCAAGAGTTCGAACGATCTCGGCAAGTAAACACCAATATATATATATTACACTTTCTTTTTTAAAAAGCAAAAAGAACGCAGCTTCCAACGTTGCAGTCAACGTTACATAGAGTAATCAAGATCTTCAACCTTGACTACAGATTAACCTCCCTTGGCAAAGACAACCCGTAGAACAACTTTGATCAACTATGACAAGTTGAATATGCTCAGGCAGTTGGTGGGGATCAAGTTCCTAAAGTTTAGTGGGCCTACGGAAATATCTGACGATACACAAGACTTTCCAAGGTCTCTGTTGGGACCCTTTCAAAAGCTGATATCCGGTGAGATTGGCTTAGATTGGTTTCATGTCTTTATATGTCACATAATATTGATTTTGACCGCATTTGACAGTTTTTTCTATCATCACATTGTATCGAGTGTCAAATTAGATAGGCATTTTACAGAAAGCAAGTCTATCAGTTTGGTGGGATCAAATTATACCATGTACGACGGGATATTACAGTTCATTTTAAACAAGTTCATGCGTACTTAAGTGCACTTTTTTCCTGAGACAGAGATCGATAGGTAGAGCTGTTTTTCGTCGTACATATTCTCGGAAAGTCATCAAAATATCCAGTCACAAGCCACCACCAAACAAAATGTTCCTGTTGTTAATACAAATTGAACGCGAAGGGAGTCATTTTATCGTGAAAACAAGAAGCGAAATCCTTGTACCATTGGTTTGCTTGGGCAGATTACTATAGGTCCATCGAGATTTGTATGAATTCCAGACAAGGAGTGCATTGCAGTAGTATATCTACTTTTCGGTAAGTATGCCAGGCATTGATTGCTGGGTGGATGAGTATTATATTAACGCATCAAAGAGATCAATACCAACAGAAAATAAATATTTTTCGCGCTTACCCCATGTAAAATAATGAGACAGTCAGTGGCCTTGAACTGGGCGAAACATAGAACCCGGCTAATGTAATTACTTTTGTATGAAGAAATGCACAGCAATAACCATTAAATTATCCTCCAGAAACTCAATCGACAATAAATTCTACAAAAAAAGATTGTACGCTGTTCGTTTGATAAGATTCATCATTTCATGATGGAACATCCTTAACTACGATACAATATGCCAGTAGCAGACTGTCTTTTCGACATGCAGGAGCTAAGTTCAATAGTTCGATTCCCGATTAAATGGTGGTATGCCGATCGCAACCACAGCTCCAATGTTTTCGCTGCGTTGGCTTAGATTGGATACGGGAAGTGGACTACACATA